ACTATTTTGAATGTTTACTTGGCTTTTTGGTGTGAATGATTATTAGGTTTTTATTGAATTTTTATAATGTCGATATTTTAGTGTTGGTATTATGCTTTTTATGTATTTTCTGATCCTGTATTTTGTATGTGTTGTATACTTTTTATTGATGTAATCCCGCCTCGATCCACAGGGAGAGGCAGGAAATATAAATATAAAATTATTATCATCATCATCATCATCATCATCCTCTGCTTACTTGCATTGGGTTAACATTCTTTGAACTCTATGGAACTTACTTAGGAGTTGACATCCTTCCAAGCTAGCACTCTCCATGATTCCCCCCCCCCCCAGCCAGGCAAATACAGCTAGCCCTCCATATCCACAGGTTTTTTAATCCATGGATTTAAGCATCCACGGCTTGAAAATATTTTAAAAAAAAAATCCAAGAAGCAAACCTTGATTTTGCCATTTTATAGAAGGGTCACCCTAATACTATGCCATTGTATTTAATAGGACTTGAGCCTCCACAGATTTTGCTATGTGGTTGTGGTGGTCCTGGAACCAAACCCTACTGGATACCAAGGGTCCACTATAGTTGTTGTTGTTGTTGGGGAACTAATTATGTTACTATTTACCCTCAAGTCGACTTTGAGAAGAATTTCCTGATGGTGTAAGAGCCATTAGACAGCTTTCTCAGAGATTGGTGGAGTCTCCTTCTTTGGAGGTTTTCAGACAGGGGCTGGATGGCCATCTGTAGGGGGTGCTTTGATTGGGAGCTCCTGCATGGCAGGGGGTTGGACTGGATGGCCCTTGTGGTCTCTTCCAAATCTATGATTCCACGATTCTATGACTTATGGAGACCTCATGAATGAGAGACCTCTAAGAGCCCCGACCATCAAGAGCTCTGCTGGAGTTCAGCATTTTCTCTCGAGTTCCCTCTTTGCTTATTTAAAGCAAGTGTGATTTTCAGATTGCTAGAGGTTCCTGCATGTAAAGCTCTGCTGTTTCCCTTCATGCAAACCTCTCATTTGCTCAGTGGTAGGACTGAATGACGTGGTAATAAATGCTTTTATAAACCAATAAACAAACCATGTAGTTCAGCTCCCTTCCTTTTAGGAATTAAAAGATATAGCCTTGTTAGTCTGTAGAATTAGCAGGTAGAGAGATCCTGCAGCACCTTTGAGACTCACTGGAAGAAAGAAATTGACAGTAGGAGCTTTCCTAGACTTTACTTCCTTGGATGCATTTGGAGCCCTTAAGTCAGATGCATTTGGAAGTAGACTTAAGTCTAGGAAAGTTTATGCTGCCAACTTCTTTCTTTCAGTTAGTCTCAAAGGTGCTGCAAGATCTCTCTACACACTTTCTTTGAGGAAGTTAGCCCAGAAGACAAAAGAGAAGTTTATCCTCTCTCTGTCCAGTCCAATTTCCCTCCTTAGGGTTGCCATATGGAAACGACACACAACAACAAATGGCATCTTTACCTGACAACCAGGATCTAGCAGAAATATAGTCTAGTCTCCAGAGCAGGCTAGTTTGCCTCCTCAGTCCACCCTGTTCTCTTTCCTTTATTTGCAAGTCAACACCTTTTTATTTAAACATAAATTTGACAATTAATAGAGTGTGTAAAAGGGTTATGTAATTGAAGCGCTCCATTTTTGTCTTATGCATTTGAAATGATTTTATACTGTTTTTACATGATAGCCAATTCAACTGTTTTAAAACTTTTGCATCATGAGGCTTTTACCTGTACCTTCTTCAGGTACGCAGCTATAATAATAATAATAATAATAATAATAATAATAATAATAATAATAATAATAATAATACAATTTATTTATATCCCACCCTTTGGGGACCCAATCAGGGTGGCTTACAACAATAAAACCATACAATATATCCCAAAACACAACCCCCCCTTAAAACAGTATTAAATCAAATGAAGATTAAAACTACAAATTCGAATAATTAAAAAAAATTAAAACATGGTACTACCATAGCATGGTAGTAGTGAATTTGGGGCTTTGCCTCTCAATGCTCCTAAATTTCTAGCATCTCAGAGAGAGAAATGTTGAAAACCATCCACAGCTAAACTCTTTCCATTGCTGTGTTCACATTCCCTTTGTCACTCTGCCTGTTCCTTTTCTTTGGAAGTTTAAGCTTTCTTGTTAAATGTTCAACTGAAGTCTTAAATTACTGCAATGCTAGAAATTTGGGGATAGAAGGAAAATTTTATTTGGGAACAAACATTTTATGGAGAGAGAACAAGAACATTATCCTTCCTTGTTGCTACACTTCTGATCTTGGTTGACTTCTTTTATAAGCCACCTGGAGGCTTTTTTGGAAGGAAAACATACTGGCTTGAAATATAATGATATTTCACCCCTGGTGGCATCTGACCTGCATCCAGCCCTAGTTAGCATTTGGCAGTTGACATCAGTTGACAAGGTTCTTCTTATCTGATACTTGTTAAAACTATCACAAAATGCCAAGTAGCCTAGGACAGGTGATCAGAAAGGTAGTTTTATACATCCAAGACTAGCTTTGGATGTTGGAATTAATAATTTCCATTCAAAATCTAACTGGTGAGACTGACATTTGGCATGGCAGGACAATACTAATATTGATAATTATTCATGTTCTCACCAGATGCTAACATTGGCCACAGCTAACATTGGCCAGATTGAGCGTTTGCTTCAAGTTACGCAGGCATGTTATAAATATGAAAGCAAAAATGCAAATAGTATGGACCAGCCAATTCTAAAGAAACAACTGAACACTTATGGAAGATGGATTATGAGCAATTCATGACTATAGCCATCAAATACCAAAACATTGATTTCCCCCCCAACTATGTGTATTATTGTAGATGTATCTCACAACTCTGAACACGAGTGAGGATCTTTCAAACCATTGTATTCCCCATCACCAGGTACAGATGTGAGAGTTGGACTATAAAAATAAAAAGCTGTCAGGAAGGATCAACTCATTTAATATGTGGTGCTAGAGAATACCATGGATGGCCAGGAAGACAAACAAATGGGTTGTAGAACAGATCAAACCTGGAGAGCCCTGGAAGCCAAGATGACTAAATTGAGACTGTCATACTTTGGCCACTTCATGAGAAAAAAATGAATCATTAGGAAAGGCAATGATGCTAGATAAGGTGGAAGGCAGTAGAAAGAGAGGGAGACTGCATGCAAGGGGGGTTATATGAGTGTTATAAATTGTGGGTGTGTACTTTTAACGTAAGCCGCCTTGATAGCTCCGGCTAAAGGCGGGGTATAAATAAAATTATTATTATTATTATTATTATTATTATTATTATTATTATTATTATTATTATTATTATTATTATTATTATTATTATTATTCTTTTGGAGGTCATGGCTGGTCCTGGTCCTGCAGGACCCAAGTAGAGCAATGGAGGACAGAGGATCTTGGAGATGTCCCATCCACAAGATCACCATGAGTCAAAGTTGACTTGAAGGCAGTTAACAACAAACAACAACCTCACGATAGCGTTTATCTCATGTATCATGTCTATGTATATCATTCACCCGGATGTCTTTCTGAGAAGACATGTATGGTGAACATAACAGGAAATAAGAGTAGACTGTTTCCTTCCTATGCATGCCTAAATAAGTCATACTAAGTTCAATGGTACTTACTTTCAGATAAACATACTAAGGATTCTATTTTATTTTATTCTATTTAAATTATCCTGTATTTCTCCTTGCACAGGAGCCAGGTACAGTCCTAAGTAGGCTTTATTTTACATTTTTAAAATAATATTTTAAAACAGCAGATAATTTGAGTTCTCTGGTCAGTATGCAGACATTTTTTTAAAACAACAACAAGCCCCTTATGGCAATAAAATAGCAGATCTGCATCCACCAGGTATTTATTTTCATATTTATTGAATTAATCCATAGACCCTTTTGATCAACTAATAGGGCATCCTAAAGGAATAAGCCAGAATGTCTTTTTCCACATTAATTTTTAAAAAATTATTTTGATTATAAAAAATATAGATGGTTGGCACTATCTCAGAAGAGGCGTTTTCCTTCCACTCTCTCACATGAGTCCAAAACACACTGCCAAAGAGATTCACCAAATCTTACTTGTGCTTTTTTTTACTAAAACCTAATCCAATTTATCAACTTTATTTGTTGTTGTTGTTGTTGCTGTTGTTGTTATGTGCCTTCAATTCATTTCTGATTTATGGCAACCCTAAGGCATGGGGTTTTCTTGGCAAGAATTGTTCAGAGGAGGTTTGCCATTGCCTTTCTCTGAGGCTGAGAGCATAAGATTTGCCCAAGGTCACCTAGTGGGTTTCCATGTCCAAGCAGGGAATTAAAACTCTGGTCTCCAGAGTCATAGTCCAACACTCAAATCACTACGCCACACTGGTTTAACTACTATTTATTAAATCAGTTCCATAAACCTTTGAACCAATTTTTGAGTCATTAATTTCAGACTATCTATTTAATTAATTTAGAAACTGGCATTTGATAGTACACTTATTGGTTTCAATACTTACTTCTCTGCAGTGGTGTTCAACTACCTTCCATTATGGGTTAAGTGCAACTTTCCACTGGCAGAACTTTCTACTTTCCTACCTCCCTGCATCCTTCTACCACTTCAGAAAACCAATTATGGATGTTTTCATGGCCTTCCAGTGTGGGCTTTAGGAGTGCATATTTGGAAGAGGTGTTTTTCCTTCTCCTGATTTCTAGTGAGACCACTGTTCTACCAGTGAAAATTCACTATTGTATTCTGTCTAATGTATATGATTCACTCTTCAATTTCATGATACTTCCTATATTCCAAAATATAGAATTATTTAATTTTAAACATCTACTTTTAAGAAATACCCTTGTGTGTGTGTTCTGTTGTGTGCCTTCAAGTGTGTCTGACATATGGCAACCCTAAAGCAACCCTATCATGCGGTTTTCTTGGCAAGGTTTCTTCAGAGGAGGTTTGCCATTGCCCCCCCCCCAGGCTGAGAGCATGTGACCTGCCTTTGCTGGGAATTGAACCCTGGTGTCTGGAGTCATAGTTCAGCACTCAAATCACTACAACACACTGGCTCTCTAAGTAGTCTTGACCCTAGTTTAAGTCAAGTTCCAGAAAGCAAGTGAACTAATTTCTATCTATTTTTTAAAATCAAGAAAGTAAACTGTTAACTAAGGAGGGTTGCAGACTGCCAGAAATAGTGCAAATTGAGTCCACTTTAAGGTTTAGGGTTAGGGAATCATAGGAACTGTATTTTATTGTTACACCAGAGCTCTCTGACAGAGAAGGCTCAATGTCTCAGAAAAAAAAAATAATTCCCATGATTCCCTAGCACTAACCCTAACCCTAAAAGTGGACTCAATTTGCACTATTTCTGACAGTCTGCAACCCCCCTAAATCAAATAAAGTGCTGTGGATTTAACCAGAACTACTTCTAAATTAGTGTGCTCAGGGTTGTGATGTAAAATGTGGGGGAGAGCCCATGTGGTGATCAAGTCACTGATACTGACCTGTTGAGTTGATATGCATTTCTGAGAAGCTTTACAAACATTTGAATAGCTCAGAAGACAGAATTATGAACAGCAAAATGTGCCTGTAATCCAGGAAAAAATTGTGTACAGCAGGCTAGTACCTGGCAAACTGACCTAGAATACAGAAAAGGAAGAGATATCCTTAGGCGATATGACAGTGTAGAAGTAGGGAGACTCCAGTAAAGATGACTGAAAAATGGAAACTGGGGGTCTGAGAAAGAGGTAACATGAGTAAGGGGTGACGGATTAAATTTTCCATAAGTTGTCTGCACAGCATGAAGTTTAGCTGTTCTTCAACATCATAAATTTGGATTTAAGGCTAGTGAGATGAAGTAACAGCAGTGAGTTTCACATGCATGTTAGCTCACCAACAAATTATTTGATTTCAGGCTTCTGGTAATAAATTGATATTGTGCATACATAAAATAAATGCAACATGAAGGATAAATGTGTGTACACATGTATTCTGAGAATACATGAAAGGTTCAAAAAGCATATCCATTGTGCATGTGGATTATCTCAAAATTATTGCCCATCTCTAACTGTAGTCATTCCCCAAAATGGCAGGAAATTATTAGTAGCCAAGGAGGTATAAAACATGATACTCTGGTAAGGTTTTAAAAACAGACTTACTTTATTGTTACAAAGAAATACATCTACAATAGGAACGTAGATAGTCAAAATAAAATTATTTATAGTTGATAGAAGAACCCCTAGAGATGACTCCTATGCATGTGGGTATATGGGGGATGGTTTTGTTGGATGCTGGCTAAGGAACAAAACAAGGGTTGTAAAACCTTACACTTACTTGTAAGTGACAAAAGAGGGGAGAGAGGAACTGACTAAGGAGCATAGAGAGAGAAACAAGACAGGTATTTAAGGAAGTTCCCTCTCTACCCCTCATTACTAAAGAAATGAGCATCGATGCTTTCTTTACTTCCAACAAAAATGAGGGGCACCAATAAAGATGTTCAGTCTCTGTCCAGCATGGAGTCAAATGATGTGCCTGCCTAAGGTCCAGTCATAAAGCAGAGAAAGGTGGGCTATAAATAAAATTATTATTATTATTATTATTATTATTATTATTATTATTATTTTGAAGGATCATTTTCACATGGAATGTACTGCTAGATACTCAGTTGTAGCTCCACTGCATAAAGAGTGTGAAGCAGATTTGAAGGCCACCAGAAACAATGGTACATGGATTTCTGGGAAGCAATTACAAGAGAAAATAGAATAGCCACATGTGTTATAAAGCAATCTTGCTTGTCAGAGATGCAGAACTGTTACTATAATTTGCTTCAGGAAACAAGACTGTATTTAGAATCTCTTGCAAACACATGACCAGACTAAACAGTTGGTTTTGCAAGGCAAGAGATCCTTGCTGGTCAATGACCGAATAAACTTTTACATACAAGGCAAGAGATCCCACCTAAACATTTTGTTGCAGATTCAAGTTTCCTAAGGCTTCAGCCTTTGTTAAGGAAACAAAAATGATCAAAAATGTCAAAGCCAAGCCTCTTAGGGTCTAGCTTTAAACCAGCAGAGTAGCAGAAACCTGTCCTTGCCTAACATGCTTCTCTAAGAACCAAGGCTGACTCAAAGACAACACAAATAGCTTGGAGTTTAAAAACAAAACTTTACTAATGGCTTGAATCTACATATGCATAGAGGCTACATCCTAACCTAGCTAATGTATAGTTCTGGTAAAAGAAGAAATCTTTATCTCACCATCTTTTGGAAGAAAGTTGATAGAGCAGGGAGATGGGAGACTGGATTGTAGCAGGAGAATTTCTTTTTGTGAGAAAATTTCCTAAAAGGAAGAGAGCTGAATCACATGATTTCTTTACCAATTTACAAAGATATTTATTGCCCCTGTGATTCAGCAAGAAGCAAATGGGATGTTTAGAAGAAGAGACACAGCAGAGATTGCATGCAGGGAAAATCCTATCTATCTGAGTAAGGGGACAGAGAATGCAAAGATTTTCCAACACATTTGCTGTTGTTTGGTTGTTGTTGTTGTTGTTGTTGTTGTTGTTGTGTGCCTTCAAGTCATTCCAATTTATTGTGACTCTAAGACAAATCTACCACAGGGTTTTCTTGGCAAGTTTCTTCAGAGGGGGTTGCCATTGCCACCCTATGAGACTGAGAGAGTATGACTTGTCCATGGTCACCCACTGGGTTTCCATGGCCAGGCTGGGATTCGAACCCTGGTCTTTAGAGTCATAGCCCAATGTTCAAGCCATCACACCACACTGCCTCACACCTAAACATTAGGAAGACCTTTTTTGTTGTTTGTTTACCATAAGAACTGTTCAAAAGTAGGATAGATTGCCTAGGAAGGTGGTGGACTTTCCCCATCTTTGGAAGCTTTTAAACAGAGGTTGGATTGACAACTTTCTGGAGTGCTTTAGCTGTGTATTCCTGCATGGCAGAAGGGCCTTTGCGGTGTCTTTCAGCTCTGAGATTATTTTATTCTAAGCGTGACAGGCTCAAGGCATTTGACTGCATGAAACAGAAAAACAAATGCTGCCTTCTATAACACACCCAGCTCAAGGTGCATAATACCCTAAGGAGAGTTGCAGACTGCCAGAAATAGTGCAAAATGAGTCCACTTTTAGGATTAGGGTTAGTGCCAAGGAATCATGGGAATTGTGCTTTTTTTTTTTTTTTTCCTGAGACATTGAGCCTTCTCTATCAGAGAGCTCTGGTGCCACAATAAAATACAGTTCTCATGATTCCCTAACCCTAACCCTAAAAGTGGACTGAATTTGCACTATTTCTGGCAGTCTGCAACCTCCCCTTGTCTTGTAGGACCTTTGGATCAGGTCAAAGTCTTCCCTGGTCTTGGAATCTGTTGGGATGAAAGAAAGTCAGCCAAGTTATTCTGTCACAGCAAAGCAGATCACCCCACAAGTGCAACTCCCATTGCCTCTCAGTAAAAATACAGTAGTAGTAAGTAACAATGTGCTGCTGCCTTTTGGATTTCTGCATCCAAAATCTGATGCTTGAGGCAGCTACCTCACTCTACCAAAAGGTAAAGCTAGCCTTGGTTCCTTCTTTAGCCTTCTCTGTCAAAGAATGCTAGGGCCTCATAAAACTACACATCCCTGGATTCTGTAGGATGGAGCCATGGCCATTATTTTTACAGTGTTAATGCACCCCTGATCCAGAGCTAATATTGAGTTCAGTGGCACTTCTAAGGAAGCGCATGCAGAAACGTAGAGGACTGCTGTAGGTTCTTTCATTTGATATTCTCTTAAATATCAGTTTATTGATCTCCTTGTTCAACAAATCCCATCCAGTCAGTTTGGATTATATGCGTTGAGGAGTACGGTTCAATCCCTTCTGGCGAATTTATAAATCAGGATGTTTCTCATACAAGATCTTTCTGCCTCCATGGGATTGCATCAGAAGGACATAATTCACATGCAACACCCAATTAAATTTGATCCTCCGAAAAATCATTTGCAAAATCATGGACGATTTTGAGGGCCACAAAAATAAATAAATAAATAAATAAAATGATGCAATTTTTCTTTCTTTTTTTCTTTTTTTTGCATAATTTGCAAAATCATGGACTATTTTGAGGGCCACCCAAAAAAATAAAATAAAATCAAAATATTAAAAAGGAGAGCAATAACAGATTAAAGTCTCGTTCCAAAACCTATCTACATGAAGTTAATACGAAGTGGAGAAAGGCTCTGGGATAAAGTAATTGGTTCGGAAGGGGTGGTAATAAATAGAAATAAATGGAATTGATTTACACTGAATAGAGGAAGCCTTTATCGGTTTGACAACGCAGAGGAGCTAATATTGTTTGTTGCTGGGTGCCTTCAAGTTATTTCCGATTTAGGGCCACCTTAAGGCAACCCTATCACGGGGTTTTCTTGGCAAGATTTCTTCAGAGGAGTTTGCTATTGCCTTCCCCTGAGGCTGAGAGAGTGTGACTTGCCCATGGTCATCCAGTGGGTTTTATGGCAGAGCTGGGATTCGAACCTTGGTCTCCAGAATCGAAGTCCAACATTCAAATTACTACACCAATAGTGTCACGATTAGATAGATATTGGAGTGGAAATAGTAGATAATTCATAGATATTGTCTTACATAGTAGGAGAGTCTGGCAACTTCTTTTCCACTATGAATAAGCGCCAAAGGACCCACCAACACCACCATCCTCTGTCAAACTAAGACAAAATCCAGGAACATTAAAATACTTATTTATTAGAGAAATTTATATGCTGACTTTTCACTTTCCAGAAGGAAAGGCGGCTTAAAGTTAGCACTCCGAAAACCAATGAAGAAACGCTGGGAAGTTAGGATCTCTCGCCTTGTTTAATAATAATAATAATAATAATAATAATAATAATAATAATAATAATAATAAAATTTATTTGTATCCCGCCTCTCTGTATAACACAACTGGGGCGGCTTACACGATAAAACATACAATCCTGTCTCTCAATAGCCCCCCCCCAATACAATTAAATAATCATAATTTAAAACATACTTAAAATAACAGATAAACAACAGATGACAAATAAATTAAAAACTGTAAAAGAAATCAGGGTCAGGCATAACTTTTTCGGTGGTCGGTTGTCTACTCAGGAAAGTATTTATTTTATTTTATTTTATTTTATTTTATTGCAAGGATTTATATCTCGCCTTTCTCCCACAATGGGATTCAAGGTGGGTTACAATAATGGAAAAAGAGAGAATAATTTTATAGAGACAGAAGTAAAAACGTTAATTACTAAGGTTAAAAAAAAGTAATAATTAAACAAGATTAATATTAAAACGTAAGTTAAAAAGTCATTGTACCGGTTGCACAACTATCGAGAGAACTCCGAATTTACTCGGAAGGTGAGACTTAAAACACAAGGACGGAAAAAGAGACGGTGCCACACTAGAATCATAAAATAGTGTAATAAGTATAATAACTTGTAATTAAATATTTCTTCTTGTTGTGTGCCTTCAGGTCGTTTCCGATTTATGGTCACCCTTATCACGGGGTGTTTGGGTTTTGTTTTTTTGTTTTTTTTGGCATGTTTCTTCAGAGGGGGGTTGCCATGGCCATCCTCTGAGGCTGAGAGAGTGTGACTTGCCCCAGGTCACCCAGTGGGTTTCCATGGCCGAGCAGGGATTCGAATCCTGGTATCTGGAGTCTTCGTCCAACCACCACTATACCATAAGCTTTAAAATGACCCTTACTATCATATTCACTTTTCCAAAAATAGCGAATTTTCGGCTAAATTTGCTCCCTATAAATTCAGGGATTTGAGGACTGGGGCGGGAGGGGGGGAAGAGAGAGAAGGGTTTTGTAGTTTTCTGAGGCCCCAGCACTCTTTGGCAGAGGATGCTAAAGACCATATGAAACTACAAATCCCAGGCTTTCATAGGGGTATAATTAGAGCACTTAAAGTAGTGTCAAACTGCATTATTTCTACAATGTAGATGCACCCATAATCTCTTCTAAACTTGCAAAGACCTGACAGTATCTCGAGGGCGATCCAATCAAAACCCCTCCCGATTTTTAACTTTAAAGCATTTAAACTTTTATAGCCTCCTATTCAGGTCTCAGTCCTCTCCATTCTTTTTTGTTGTGTGTCTTCCAGTCCTTTCCGATTTAGGGCAACCTTTTTCATGCGGTTTCTTGCAAGATTTGTTCAGAGTATTGGAAGTGAAGTTTGCATCTATGGGCCTGAACAGACTGCCAGAAATAATCCAGTTTGCGATCACTTTAACTGCCCTGGCTCAGTGCTAGGGAATCATGGGAACTGTAGTTTATTGTGGCACCAGAGCTCTCTGACAGAGAAGGCTCAATGTCTCAGAAAAAAACAACTACAATGCCCATGATTCCAGGGCAGTTAAAGTGGTCTTAAACTGGATTATTTCTGGCAGTCTGTTCAGGTCCTAGTCTCTAGTGGTAGATGCCTCCCACACTCATACTTTCATTCATGGGAGTCACTTTTTAGGGACTCTTGTACCAAAATATAGTTTTTTTTCCCCCCAACTGACTGTTTATTTTCCCTGGATGTTAGATTTTTGTAAGAATAGATTTTGTAAGTCTTGTTTTGACCTTACCAGAGAATCCTATTTTTACCAGAAGCTCAGATATACTTTTGGGCAGGCTATTGTTCTGCTTAATATAAAAAAAATTACCAAATATACTAAATTCCAACACGGAGAGGGTTTGCCTTTGTCTTCCTTTGAGGCTGAGAGGATGTGACTTGCTCAAAGTCACCAGTGGGTTTCCATGGCCCAAAGAATAATCCAAACCTGGACTAGTCCTAGTCCAACACTCAAACCACTACAAGGCTCTCAAACTGTCCAGGTACATTTTGGAAACTGAGGTAGTTAACTTGGATCAAGTCCCACGAAAGTCGGTGCGATCCAGGGTGACCAGATGGCCTAACCAAAAAGGAGGACAAGGGACCGTAAAATGTAGGACACTCAAGAAACAATGGGCACAACGACAAACTGAAAGCTAATGTACATGTAAATTCTTGCTTCTTAGTCCTGCTCAAAATGGAGGGCATTTTGAAATTCCTCCTGAGACAGAAGGTTGAAATGTAGGACAGGTCCTGGGAAAGGAGGACCTCTGGCCACCATGAGTGGAACATACATCTGAGTAGACCCACGCAGGATCGAAGTCGACAGAAAGACAGAAAGACTTTCGGGAAAATCCAGAAGATGAGCGTGATTTTGGGTCTAATAATAATAATAATAATAATAATAATAATAATACATTTTATTTATCGCCCGCCCCTCTGCTGAGCAATCGGAGCTTCGAACAAGATTAAAAAAGAACAAAGTTAAAACAATTCCATCTCACCCCCAATCCCTAACCCACGCACCCCGAAAAAATCAAATTAAACTGTATTAGAAATAAATAAAAATTAACCAGCAGTAATTTAAAACCATTAAACTTGAGTTGCAGAGCCAGCTGGCCTAGTGGTTTGATCGTTGGACTCTGACTCTGCAGACCAGAGTTGGAATCCCTGCTCGGCCAAGGAACCCCATTGGGTGACCTTGGGCAAGTCACACTCTCTCAGCCCCAGAGGATAGCAATGGCAAAAAGAAAAAAGAAAAAAACCTCTGATGAAATTTGCCAAGAAACCCCGTGCTAGGTTCGTTTTAGAGTCGCCCTAAGTCAGAAACGACTTGAAGGCACGCAACACAACCACACCAAATACTAGCTAATGCTCTACTATGGATTGTGACATGCAAAGGGATTAGTACCTCTGGCAGGATCGTGGTTGGTCTCTCCTCTTGTTCCAGAAAAAGGACATTCCCAAATAAAAATAATCCATTTCCATTCGGTGGGAAGAATTTTCTCTCTCCCTCCACGTTTAAACCTCCTAGAAATCGAAGTGTAGTTTAAACCAACCCACTCACCTTCCCTCTGTGTGTGTGTGTGTGTGTGTCTTTGTGTGTGAAACACACACACACACACCGTCAGATTCTCTTTGCTTGAAGTTTTCAAAGAGGAAAAAAACTTTGCGTAAAGACTACTACTATTACCTTCAACGTCTCAGACACGTCCCTAGAAAAAAGGCATTTATTAAATAAATTCCAAAGACTTTGGGATCTCCAGATTCCAGGAATCCATCTGATCTGTTTAGATTGTATAGTAAAAATAGTGGAAGCTTAAAAGGAGTGGAGGAGGGGGAAAAAAGAAAGGGGAGGGGGAAGACGGAAACCTAGAAATCTGGGAAACCCCGACACCTGAGTAATATTTTAAAATTTAAAGAGAATATTATATTTTTGCACTACGGAGTGATACCTAAGAGGAAGGGAGCTGGTGTTCTCCAGACCTGTTGGATTGCAACTCCCATACCCTCTGACCATTGGTCATGTTGGTTGGGGCAGATGGAATCTGTAATACCAAACACCAGGAGGGCGCCAGGTTGTGTATATATATGTAATAATAATATACATACACATACACACACACACATACATACACATACACACACACACACACACACAC